ATTCCAAATGTTTTGCTGCTACTTTTGAGAGTCAAACCGATTTCACTCTCCTGATCGGAAAGTTTGCGTATAATAGCGCTAAACTCCTGTCTCTCTCTCTCTCTCTCTCTCGTTCCCTCCCCTCCAAACCTTAGTATGTTAAACATCACTTCCTATTTAACGTGGGCACTAGTCAGACACACGCACACACACACACAGACACACACAGAGGCATATGAATACACACACACACACACACAGAGGCTTATGAATACACACAGACACACACAGAGGCTTATGAATACACACACAGACACACACACTCACACACACACAGATACACACACACAGAGGCACTCACACACACACAGATACACACACACAGAGGCACTCACACACACACAGATACACACACACAGAGGCACTCACACACACACACACACACACACAGAGGCACTCACACACTCACACACACACACACACACATCTAAGAAATATTTAAGAATTGTTTCAAATGAATATACTTTCAGCTGCGAGCGTGATTTAAACCGTGTCGGTGACTGCACTTTCCTTTCTCTTAAAGCTTGACACTGAAAAAAGGCAAATACACGTTTAGAGATGACATAAAACAGCTCAGTTATGTAAAGAAAAGACAAGCAATTTAACCCTTTGAGTAATGGGTTTGGTTTTTACTGTATACAGCCTTCGCCCACGAAGCTGTCAGAACAACAAATGCAGCTCCATCATCATCAGAAAGTATTTTAATTTCAAAAAGCCACCGGCAACATTAAGCTAAATGTATAAATAATAAATAATAACAATAAAAGCATTCGCTTCAACGCATAACATCCTACCAACCACCTCAAGAGAGTTAAATGCTCCATTTTTTGGGGGGGGGGTGGGGGGACCTCAAATGTTGATTCATTATGCAAATCGAATTGTTTCTTATCCTCCAAAATGTAAAAATAAATACACATTCGTCAGTTTCAGCCCTTTGCTAAACGCTTAAGATATTGTCCAAGCGATGTTGCTCTTTGCTCACGACCCATAGTGACTTGTTATGTAAGTCAAGGACAGAGAGACTTGTCGAGGAAGAACACAACCTCCTGTCAACTTTTATCCCACATTAAATGACTCTCATTTTAATGCTGTTTTATTGCTTGTTGTGATTGTGTGTCTGTCTTCGTGTGTGTCTGTGTGTCTGTGTGTGTCTGTGTGTGTCTTCGTGTGTGTGTGTGTCTGTGTGTGTGTGTGTGTGTGTGTGTGTGTGTGTCTGTGTCTGTGTGTGTGTCTGTGTGTGTGTGTGTGTGTCTGTGTGTGTGGTGTCTGTGTGTGTGTGTGAAGCTTAAACACAAATCTCACCCACTGACCCTTCGCACAATTAATCATTTGAACATGTTAGCACATTCATTCCCTTTAATGACATTTGCTTTCGATTTTATCGGCTCGGTGTCACGATTTACCGTCGTTCAGACCCCCCCCCCCCCCCACCCCGAGTCAAGTCGACACTTGAATGAATATTGGTCGTATTTTGGGCGCAAAAGACGGACCAAGAAAATACGACAGACCTTCAATGGGTGGACCTCTTTTTTTTTCTAAGGTATTTGCGGCTTGGTGAAAGAGATTTGAGCATTAATATTAGCACTAATAATAATAATAAAAACTCTCTCCCGCTAATTCTGAGCAAGGCTGTGTGAATGTGCCAGTCACTGCTAACAGTATGGGTAATATATGCATACATATAAACACACACACACACATATACATGCATATATGTACGTGGATACACACATAACGGTGGGGTGAGTGGGAACATATGAGAAAAACTAAATTAAACGGTATTAAAATATTTGTTCATGCAGATATATTACACATACTATGTTTTTAATGGAACCACGAATTGCTTAAACACTTAAATCTTTGCAATTGCTGAAATCCGTAATTTGCTTGAAACTTGGAATTATTTACACACAACTTTGCTCACTGCAATTTCGGTATCTAATCATTTATCTTCTTGTTCTTTACCAAGACGGAATTTATATTTTGAGTGGGTGGAAAAGAGTGGGGGGGGGGGTGTTTGGGAGAGAGAGAGAGACAGAGAGAGAGAGAGGAAACAATAATAAAGCAAAGTGTTGCGAATATACAGTCGTTTCTTTTTCTATTGAGTTTAGCAAAATACAGGATATTAAAGTTGCTCTTTCTAATGGTCAAGTACAATTGTCGGGCACTGGAAGTTGTCTCAGACGGAATATTTCTCCCGTTTCACGTCGCAATATAGACAAATTAACTTTGTGCGTGAAATAATAATTAATATTTTTGCAAACCTATTTCGTGTCCGTTAACACAAGGAACCCCAATTCTGTCCCGTTTTGTCGACTAAACGGTCGTAAAAAAAAAGATGTGGCGAATGTAAATGCAATGATTGTGAGTCTCAGTGTCGCTGTCTGTGAATTATCTCGTGTGTTTTTTTCTGTCTAAAACGCACACACACACACACACACATACGCTCATACGTACACGTGGAAGTGCGCAGAAAATCACAGCAAAAAAAAAATAAGTTAAAAACATTCAGTAACTTTAATGAGACCATCGGAATAGACTTGAGGATTGGGCAGAGAGAGAGAGTGAGAGAGAGAGAGAGAGAGAGAGAGAGTGAGAGCGAATGTGAGGGAGAGAGATCACATTTGGTTAGGAATGGGAACTGGAAGGAATTCAACGTGTATTTTGTTTCCCATTAGTACAACCTCCCCCCCCAAAAAAGGAAGAAAAAAAGGTATTAAATTCCTGTCAGATTTTTCCCTGTATTATTTCTTTTAACAAAAGGCAAGGGGAATAATCTCTACAAGCAAATCACTGTGTGTGTCCCCCAAAAAAACAAAACCATCACTGATTACTGCCTGAAACGTGCGAACCATTTTGCGTCTCTAAAAAGCACAATCCGAGTTGTGCAAAACGAGCAAAAGAAAAACCAAACACAATTGCTTGTGACTTTTATGCTCTGGAGGCTGGACATAGCCACACTTGCGAGGAGTAACTTTTCATGTGTGTTAGCGACCTCACCAATGTGGTTTTGCAGTTTGTTTCCATTTGGTTCGTGTGTGTGTGTATATTGTGTGTATATATATATATATTTACATATAATATATATACACATGCAATCAAAATGATTATATATGTAGCATATATATATATTATATATACATATATATATATACACACACACACAGGATATTAGTGCACTCTAGACCCTGAGATTTCCGCTCGATAAAAAGGAATAAATACATCATAAAGCAGAGAAATCTCCCCCCTCTTCACTTACCTCGTCGCCAAGTTAAAGAGATCTCTCCTCCCCTTTAGCAAAGCTTTGGTTGGGAAATACAGACCGGGGTGTCTGTGTCTGGGGGGGGGGGGGGGGGGAGTGTCACTGTTTTCAGTTGCCAAAAAAAAGCGTGCGTTAGGTGTGCAAAAAAAGCTCGATTTTTAAATTGTCATTAATTGGGAGGAAACAAAAGTGCCTTTTATTCACAGACACTGACTCCGAGAGAGGGATTCGTCCTGCAATTCGCGTCTAATACTTTTTTTTGTGTGTGTCCCTTCCACCGTCGGTTCAACAGAACTAAACTGTTTCCTTTTTAAAAAAATATATCTATCTATTTACATAAAATATAGATGTAAAAATCCATCTTACTTTAGTGCATCAGACTTCATTGTAACATAACCATAAGTTACATCAACCAATCTACTTTGTAAGCTACAGAAACGTTCCTTAACATGTCTGTGTTAAAGCTGGTTAGGGTACATTTATTTTATTTATTCAGAGTTTAAAGTGATGTTCAATGCACAGTAAGTGGCCTTTTCCCCTCGCTTTATATGCTACATAGTTTAACCCCAACGAGGGGAAGAGGGGAGGGGGGACTTTAGTTCATGTTTGA